GCGTGAACCACGGGCGAACGTGAAACACGAAAGCCACAGTGCAGACCCACTCAGGAACAGGAACAAGTCCATCGTGCACAATACGACACGCGTGACACCTATGGATGGCATATCTGGAAGCAATACAGATGCTACAATGCACAATCCTGATATGCATTAATGCATGTCCTATACGTCCTTTCACTGTTGCCAACATATAGGGAAACCGTTCTCAGATTTTTTTTTGGCACATCGTTCTCTCCCTGTTGCTAGTCGATACTATCGGACTATGCTCGAGTCAGTGTACCAGCAGAAAACTTGATTAAGTCTACCTAAGTTAGCAGAGTGTCACCTATCCTGGATACATAACCATAGTAATAGGGCTACTTATATGACTTCGCATAAAAACGTCCTAATTTTTTTTTTGAAAATATAGGTTGTCCAATTTTAGTTTAGAAAAGGTTTTTGAAGCCTTATTTCCTCATTTGCGCTCTGATACCACCTGTGGCAGAACCACCTAATCTAATGCCTCACAGGAGTGCTTGTCTTCCATTAGACACTAATCACTCGAGGAAGAACACTAAATTACTCGGTTCCATCGGGCACACCCCAGGGGAGAACTCGAAAATCCACATTTTTGCCATCAGGATCACAAATAAGAGAATAAAGCTTACATCATTTAACCATTTCCTACATCACTTTTAATACAACATCAGAGTATAGCATTTATTATTATAATAGCGGAATGTAATTATATTATCAAAGTTATGAATCATTTAATTAAACAGCGGAATATAAACATGTGAATAGAGTTACAGCGGAAATAAACATCTATTAGTGACATGATGAAGTATTGATATATGAACTACGACAACAGATTATGAAACTTTCATTTATAAAAGCATTTGGTGATAGTTATAAATAACAACTACGATCGCAGCGTAAAGGAATCCTCGCTGAGCCCACCAGGAGGAATCCACACACAAGAGTCAGCTTTAGCATCCACCTATCACCTGCAACAGGGGGAAATAAAACCCTGAGTACTCAATTATACTCAGCAAGATTTACCCGACAGGAGAACAGAAAATACTCTAAGGATATGCAAGGCTATCTGGCTTGTGGGTTTATATTCGATTTTTACTAATAGCTGTTTTGGTTCATTAACTAACCATTCTATGTAAGCACCTGTGCAAGGACCTCCTCCACCAAAAAGAAACCCTAATAGTCGGTCCGAAAAGAGCCAGATCCACGACAAGAGAGCAACAAGTCTTCTAAATGCCCATACACAAGTATGTGCTCGGGATAATAAGTCTGTGACCTACCTAGAGTCTTATACAATGAACGGTCCTTGACCAAACAGAGAAAGCAGTGTAACCAAGCTATGCCCCATGTCCACGGCAACACAACTTATTGCACCCACCAATACCCAAACCATATCCCTGTCCAGTCACCATTTTTCTTTCCACCATTTATATTTTCCAAGTGATAACCATACAGTAATATATTTCCTATCTCTCGCGAGTGATAGGCAATCACTCGACTTCTATCGGAGTCCTGTAGCATAGCAATCTACACGATCCTATCATACTAGTAAGACTCATAGGATAAAGATATATATATGCAGGTGGGTTTCATTCAACCCCTTAAAACTTAATGCACAAATATAATTTAAACTGTAGAAAGTAGGGGTTATGCACCGGGGCTTGCCTGGGTAAGATATATATTAAAAGTTAGTATCTGCATCTTCAGATCATCCACCATCATCTGGATAGAAAGCCCATTGCATCATGTCCTGGAGAGAATACCATTGCACCATCTTTGAATTCCCAATCATCCTTCACTTGATCCGTTGATCCATCATCGTACCTATATGATATGTAATGCGATGCAGTGCAAAGATGTAATTAATCAATTGCAACCGTGATTCGTAAAATACGATTTACGCCGCTCAAGTTAGCGAGCTAGATCTAACGACGACCGTACTTAGGCTACATATCCATGTTATCGAATAAGACGTTATTTCCCAACACTGTTTTTAGTTATATAAACCAAGGTGTTTCTTTATTTCATTCTATCGATTTAATCCTTATTCGCAATAAGCCATCATTATCTAATTAGCAACTAGTTATTCTGGAGCTACAAAATTTACGGTGAGTAACTAATATTGCTAGGAGCCTACTATACAAATTTCAGATTCAACACTATTGCCAATTTATCAGAACAATTCCTACAAGTTATCTTTTTACATTATTAAGTATCTTAAATTAATTATATAGCTCCCGAGATTATTATCCAACTATGTGAACAAGTTATACAAGCAGGTAGATCATGATTTTAGGAGCCTAATAAATATAGTTTGGCATTTTTATGATTTTTCTACATTGTATTATCAATTTCCAAGTATTTAGACACTTGTTGAAAATTAACGGAACACCGAAACAGTTAAAGGGTCTTTGGGCCCAAAGCGGCCCAAGCGCGGGGCAGGCACGGCGTTGCGCGGCCCAGCGGCGTGGCCAGGCCAGCAGCGCGGAAGCAGGCCGGCCAGGCGGCCCACGGCGCGACGGCCCAAGGCGGGCGCGCGGCCAGCGCACAGCGCGGCAACCGGCCGGCCCAAGCGGCGGAGACGGCGACCCAACACGCGGCAGTGGCGCGGACGGCCCAGGTGCGTAGTGGCGTGGCCCAAGCGCCAGCAGCGGCCCAGCCAGGCGACATGAGGCCGGCCCAGGCGGGCAAACATGGCCCAACGTGAAGTGGTGGCGGCCTATTTTGCAAAAACGCCCCTGCGTTAACCTCTATTTGACGCGAGATCCCTAGGCACTATTCAATTGAGTCATGTATTTCACATTGACCACCCTGTATAATTCTTTTTCTTGGATTCTTACCCTTTACCTTGTCTTCTAAAGCAGAGCACAGCAGGGGAGGGGCACGATGACCAGCGGCTGTGGAGTCGCCGGCGGGGCTACGCGCGGCTCCGGTGATGGGAGGTCCGCGGCCACGGCACATGCTCGGGTGGCGAACCAGCGTAGGCTAGGACGGAGCAGCGCTGCTGCGCAGCAGGGCCAGCGCGGGGCGCGAGGAGCTCGGGCGCGGTAGCAGCGGACCGAGGGGCACACACGCCTGGGAGGGGCTACTGTATGGCGGCGTGGAGCTCGCGCGGAGGTGGGGTCAACGCGGACGGCTCCGGGACGGCGCGGGTCCCGGCGGGGAAGCAGATGCCGCAGCGGCTCGGCGTGCAGCCATGGTGGGCTCGGTTACGCCTGCGCGCGTGGGGGAAAAAGGAGAGGCGCCGGCGGCGCGGGTGGATGGCACAACCCAGAGGACGGAGCGCGGCAACGGCGTGGTGCGCGGCAGCAGCACGGGCCTGGGCGCACGGAAGGCTGCGCGGGAGAAGTGAGGAGGGCGCTGGTGTGGGCGTGCGGTGGAGCTGCGGAGGAGCAGAGGGAAAAAACCAGAGCTGGGGCTGCGTCCAGCACGGGGAACCGAGGACGCGCAAGCACGAGGGAAAAAGGGAAGAGACGACAGGCGGGCGGTGCCGGCCGTGGCCCAACGGCCATGGCGTGTTGCGGGACAGCGACGTGATGTTGCGGCCTAGAGCGCAGAAGGGAGGGGCGGCGCTCGCTAGTCAACGCGGCTCGAGCACGGACGAGCAGCACGCGACACAGGGAGGAAAAGGAGGAAAGCGGAGTAGCTCCGTCCGGCCTAAGGAGCCCGAGGCAGCAGACAAACGCACAAGGCCGCGCGTGGGCTGCTGGGGCCTCCATGTGCGGTGCAACGAGATGATAGACAGAGAGAAGAAGGTGCACAGCAGGCGCAGCGTAGAGACAACGTAGAGACCGATAGAGACAGCGGAGGCAGGACTGACTCGGTTCACTCTGCCATGGCGCAACGTTAATAATTCGGATGACGGATTTATTCAGAACAAGGGAGACGTACCACTGTACTCAAACGTCCAGAACACAGTGCAGCAAGGACAACAGCGCTTTTAAATATAATCTCATATGTTGACGCGAAAAGCTGGTTTTTATTTATTTTATTTTAAGTTTTAACACGATTAACTCCCAATTTTTATTTCAGTTCTAATTACAAGTGATATTTTATTTTGTAACAAAAATTGTTTTCATGCTCAATCCAACAGAATAAGCCATTCACTCTTTACTTGCTAGAATCGCTAGCGGATATTTTAAACATAATTTAAAATTTTAAAATCCGACATAATTGTTTCGGTAAATTATATTAGGCCTAAAACGCGGTGCCAAATACGATCGTAACACCGGGGTGTTACAGCGATGGAGATAGATGCGTGTGGTGGGTGGGAGAGAAATAGGTAGGCAGGTTTGTTGCCCCAGCAAATTTAGGTAGTAGGAGGGAGAATTTGTTTGGCCAATAAAAGTAGGTAGTTAGATAGGGAGTGCTTTTTTTGCCCTCCACTACCTAAATATAGAATAGGTAGTGGGTTTAGGTAGGCTGCTGGAGATGTTCTAATATGACTAAACTATTTTAGTCTTGTTTTAGTCAGTTTGTTTGGTAATTTAGGCTTTGTCCGTTTCGCTGAAAAACAAGCCGAAATACTATTCCGGCTGATTTGTTGTGAGAGAAAAATATTGTTCTGGCTGAAAAAATAAGCTGAAAAGTACGGATTATAAGATAAACGAATAGGACATTAATACCTAAAGTGACTAAAGCCGGGGGAAACCAAACAGGCCGTTTGTTGTAGTTGTTCCGCGATCAAGGATTACTCGTGAGTCAATAATTCCGTGCATGCAACAGAAGCATATTGTTCTGGCTGAAAAAATAAGCTGAAAAGTACGGATTATAAGATAAACGAATAGGACATTAATACCTAAAGTGACTAAAGCCGGGGGAAACCAAACAGGCCGTTTGTTGTAGTTGTTCCGCGATCAAGGATTACTCGTGAGTCAATAATTCCGTGCATGCAACAGAAGCCATTTTCACGAGCTTGAAACGCACGACTCGTCTGTCGTGTGCCCAGTGGCCAGAGTGGCCAGTGCTTGTTGTCAGTGTCAGACAACCGGAGTGAGCAGCGGCTTGCTGAGAGCATGCGCCTCCAGATTGGCGAGCACCAGGTCCGACATGGCCTTGCGGGTCTCGCGCGTCCCGCTCCCCATGTGCGGTGCCAGGACGACGTTGTCGAGCGCCATCAGCGCCTCGGGCACGTCTGGCTCGGCCTCGAACACGTCCAGCCCCGCGCCGCCGAGGCGGCCCTCAGCGAGCGCCGCGACGAGCTCGGGCTGGTCGACGTGCGCGCCGCGCCCGACGTTGACGAGCACGCCCCTGGGGCCGAGCGCCTCGATCACCTCGCGGCTCACGATGCCGTGGCTCTGCTCGTTCAGCGAGCAGGCCACCACGAGGACGTCGCTGTCTGCTGCGAGTTGCACCACGGTTGGGAGATAGGTGTAGTTGGGGTATGCCTGCTGCTGCCTTGTTCTCTGGTAGTAGCTGACTGGGCAGCCGAAGCCTTCCACTCTCTTGGCAATGGCAAGCCCTATCCTGCCCAGCCCAATGATGCCAACTCTTTTGCCACTGAACTGCAAACATAATAACAACCCATGACATGAGAAAACTAATTAAACAAGGAAATAAACAGCTAGCAGATAATTATCGTGCGCATGCCCTAAACGACCAAGGATTGCAGCTAGCTCGTTACTTTTGTTTTACTAGGTAGCGTGCCCATACATTACTACGGAATAACTAATAATTTATACTAAAAACACATACACGATAAGATAACAATACTGTTAAATTAAATACCAACATTAAAGTGACATTTAATCCAAAAAGCAAAGTTTATAAATTTAACATAGTCACAGAGTGCGCGGCGTCGTAGGCTCACAAACTCTAGAGCTTCCAGAGATTGGGTCGAATCCAATCTAGAGCCTCGGAACCCTGCATCTTTTCCTAGACGAGCTTCACTTCTGATGCGCCGGTAGCAATATCAATGATCTCCGGTCGATGAACCAAATCGTATGGATCCTCATATAATGGCTCAGATATGTAGATTTTGTTCTCCTTGTACTTGGATACATTTGTTCCACTGAAGCTTTCATTGAAATGTTTAGACACGAACAGTGTCTGATCACCGATGTCCCTCACCCTGGACCACTCCGGCGTACGGTCGTGGAGATTGCACTTGTAGATCGCGCTGCTGTAAGTGAAGCTCTGTGTCTCGTGGAACGTGCTCACCATGGCACCCATAATGTGCAGCTCACCGTTTGATTCCAGATAGCTGCGGTGGCAGAGACCCGCAGGTGGCGACAGCGATGGCAGCAGCGTCGCGGTTGGAGTAGTGCCAGCGGCGTTGCTGCTGCAGACGGAGATTTCTCTAGTGCAGTCGATCGTCAAGAACTTGTCTTGGCAGTAGACGATGGACCCCACAGAGAACTCTAGTTTGATGTCGAGCAGCGTCCATGCGTTGTCGACTCCAACCCGGCAGAACGCGACCTCCGTGGAGCACCCAAGCATGGCCATGGCCACGCACTCGCGGCGACGTCAGGCGACGCCGAGAGCACGATCTCACGGAAGAACACGTCCCTCGTGTCTTCTAGCTTGATGGCTCTGCCTGCGGCATCCGCGTCCTCGTAGCCGTTGGTGGGATAGAGGACCCACCAGCTGTGGACCCTAGACACGCGTTCCGATGAGGACACCGCCGCGACGTGTTCGCCTACTAGCGGGAGCTCAACGCGGGGGGCACGGGCACCGGCGAATGGATTCAGCAGCGTCACGGGCGCTGCCTCGTCCATGAGCGTCAGCCACCCACACGAGGAGCCGCACGCCACCATGCCGCGCACGTCGGGCAGTGTCTTGGATAAGACCTTCTTCTCCGAAACGCAATAGAAGTCGACGCGGTCCGAGTCGAGGTCGAACGGGAGCAACAGGAGTGGCCCGAGTCGCGAACGAGACGGCGGCGCGCCATGGGGAGCAAGCGGATCGGAAGGACGCCGCGTCGTGGCCTGACGCGAGTCGCTGCCCGATGGACTCGAGGAGATCCTCTGGCAGGCCGGATCTCCAGTCCGGGAGAGGTAGGGACCTTCTCTTGGGATTGGGAGGCTGAGCCATGGAAGACAGATGACATCAACTATGGTTCACGTAAGAAACAGTAAGCGAGGGCGATGGAACACGTGAGCGTGAAACCAAATGAAAGGAGGAAAAAGCTGCCCATTTTGCAAATGCAAAGAGAAGTAATTAAATGTAGGCAGATTTGGCAAGGTTCTCAGAAATGCAAAGAGTTCTTTTTGTCTTAATTCTCTTTCCTTCTATATAAATTCTCTTTCTTTTGCTCGTTGGCATGTATGTTGGTGCATGCAAACATGCAATGTGTATATGGATAGCACAATAATTTTCTACTTCATCTTTTGCCATAATTCCTCTATCACATGACAGACAATATTCAATCAAGGAGAATGGCACGATCAATCAGTAATTAAGATGTCGTGAGATCGCAGGCATGGGCAGACAGACGAACCAAAACAAATATCACACCAAAAAATGTTCACACTTTGTTTTTTTTAGTTGTATATTGTAGAAGATACTATACTACCTCCGTCTAAATTTTATATCGTTCTAGCTTTTTAGATATATAATTTTTGTTATACACCTATATTTACATTATTTTCTAGATACATAGCAACAAATATGTTTCTCTAGAAAAAGAACTAGAACAACTTATATAATTTAAAATTCAAAGAGTAGCTTTCAATTTGTATTTTAATACAAGCGATAATCGAGCATGGAATATATTTAATTTGTTGCCCCGATAAGGCGATAAGTCGTCTGTTTCAAACAGTAGTAGTCCTAAGTTCGAGCATGACGCGGTAGTAGTGCAGAAATGCATCACGCTGCCGTGCCGTGCCGTGCCGCCCTTGCCTATGCTGTTCACAAGTTATTCAGTCGTACGTGTAACGGGCGCTAACTGCTAAACATCAACGCTGCCATCGATCAAGGACGACGACGAAATTTCGATCCATCGTAGACCAACCATAGAAGAGAACGAACTTGGAAAAGGACAATATGATGAGTTAGCGCGGATGATGATGGAACCAGCGACGGGTCAAAATATACAAGCGAATGGGGGGAATGCAGTTCACTGGGCAGTGGGCACCACGCCACCACCAGTACCGCTTGCCGGCTTTAAGGTTTGTCAAGTGTTGGGAGACAGCGATGCTTTTGAAAAATATAATCTCTCTGTCTAAGAAATATACATCTTATTTTTTAGAAAGTCAATCGATCTTATTAAGTTTGAATAAATATATAAAAACGTTAATACCATATTATTTGGAGATTTATATACCTATATATCTATAGTTACCTAATAACGAAGAACGAATTATTATTTTATCTGTCTTTTTTTTACTTTTCAAAATACCCTAGCATTCTCTGTGTTCCACTTGTGACCAGGGCGCACCGCGATTGCGTGCAATGATAATATGGTGTTCGATTTCAAGACTGTATTAAGTTTTATTGCAAGCACTGACACGTTTAATACTATTTTCTATAAACCTAGATAAATTTAAAATTTGTTGACTTAAAAACAAGATGTGAATTTTATTGGGACCGAGGGAGTGTATATATAGCTTAGGGCATGTACAACCCAGAGACAGGGTGTCGTCTCTAAGAGACCAGAATCTGATATACAGACAATTAAAAAGACAGCTTGTACGACCCACAGACAGGAGATCGTCTCTAAGTAGTTTAATGCTTTGCACGTAGTGAAGATCAGTTATGAATATCAATTTGTATATCATTGTGTTGCCGTTTCTATTTAACTGGAAGCAGATAGCTCATCAGGTAACAGATTTAGAACATAGAAGCATTCAGATAACCCATCACGGCCACCATCCGCGTTCAGGTAGCTAACTTCAGAACATGAATAGAACCATGACCAGGTCCTGAACGCGGCATGCTAGATGAAGCAAAGATAATCCTTCAACATAAATACATAATCATCCAATCCATCTATATGGGCACTCATGTAACTTGCAGACAGGAACTGAATGAACGGCTTTTGCTGGCAGCTGCCCTTAGGAATCAGCAGAAGAAGAAATAACACGAGCCGGCCGCTGAGGCAAAGACCCATGAGGCCCCCGACGGACGCGCCGAACATGAAGCACCGCGACGGCTCCATGGCCGGACTCTGCGGCCATTGGGCGAGGAGGAGATGAATCTGCAGGCGTCAGGCTCTTCCTAGATACGTGGACTTCGAGGCGCCCGGCATCTCAACGCGTCGACGGGAAGTTGACATCGGCTTAGCCGTTGAAGGATGGAGGGCTACGACACCAGAGCGAGCGAAGGCGATGACACCGGTGGGTAACGATTTGGCGCGAGATTTCTCTCAACGCGCGCCAAAACTGGAACCTCCGCACGCCGCCGACCCGTACAACGCTGCTGGAGGAGGAGTATCGGCCTCGGGCAACGGGACATCCCCGTCGCCTCGCGAGACGACGCTAACCCTGTCTCCTAGCATCGGCGAGGTGGTTTTTGCGAAATTAGCATCGTAGAGACGGGCTCAAGGGACGCGTTGTACTTGCCCTTACTAGTCTGTACTTCACAGTACATGTAAATAAATGTGCATTAGTTAGGTACGGTTACTCAATCAGATGGTCAAATCTAGCCCTTGTATATTAATTATATGATTAAATAAATGGCTGTATACACGACGCATGACCGGCCAGACAGTAGAATCAAATAATTCAAAGTGCAGTAGTGCACCCGAACATGGTATGCGTACCACCATATATTTTTTTTCATGGAAGTAGCAGTTCACAATTGCACGCAAGGGTTGACGGCAACTAAAAGGTTTTCTCTCCAATGACAAAAACAATCAAGCATATATCACTATATAATCAACGTACTCCTATATAGTAATAACATAAAGCAATACGCAACAGCAGATGATTTGCACGTACGAGGGCAGGAAAGTGATCGAATAGAAGAGAGACAAACCTGAGTGGTGAGACCATAGTGGCCATTATTGGCCTTCCACAGGCCGGCGCGGACGTAGCGGTCGGCGTGTGGGATCCTGCGGAGAGCGGCGATGGCGAGTCCCACGGCAAGGTCCGCGACGTCGTCGGTGAGCACGCCGGGGGTATTGGTGACCCGGAGCCCGCGCTCGCGGCACCTGGTGAGGTCGACGCGGTCGAAGCCGACCGCGTAGCACGCGATGATCTCGAGCCGCGGGAGCGCGTCGATGAGCGCCGCGTCGCCGCCGCCGCCGCTGCCACCGCCGGTGACCACGGCCCGGATCGACGAGGCGTGGGCGCGGAGGAATTCGCCACGGCGGTCAAGCGGGGCGTCCCAGAGGCGCAGGAGGCGGCAGCGGCGGTCGAGCTCCTGCTCCAGGTACGTGTCCAGCGGGTGCAGGAGCAGCACGCCCAAGGATTCCATCGCGCCGCTGAGGCAGGAGTAGTGTTAGAGGTTGGGTGGGCAAGTACAAACAAGACACGGCAACCGGGGGCAAGAGTCGGCTTGTGTGTATTGCTAACGTCTCCAACGGTTCACATCTGAGGACTTTGTTGAGGGAGCGAAATATTATTGGTGTCTCAGTCTCAGCGGTGGTTGTTGCCTTGTGGAATTGAAACGCAGCAGCAGCCTGCAGCCGGCCACTTCTTTTATTTAGCTGGCATAAGCGTTGCCATTTTTTTTAGCTGACGACGACTCTGTCTATCTAAAATAAACTCAAAACATGCTATAATTTTAAATTATTGCAGCAAAGGAACAAAATGAAACAATTTGACGGGAACTGGAGCCATCATTTTTTTTCTCAATCGGACCATTCATCCGTTTTCATTAAAAGGATAAAAGTTTGTAAAACACAAGTGATCGACCACGGTGGCGAGGGGCCATCGGAGAGCCGAACAACTCCTATCCGACAACTCTTATCTACTGGATTTTCATTTAGCTATTACATTGAAGCCATCATTTTTACTTTTTTCCTTCGAACAACGTAGAAGAACTTCATGTCATTTCAAGATAGAAAAAACACAAATACAAAAAGTTAGACAGAGAGCCCAATCCAAACACGAACACACACCCACAAATGGTCCCACTGCAAGAAAAAAGAATCGCCACAAAAGTAACAGAAGGCCTGACCAAAGACCATCCAACTATGGGCCTGAATCATTCTTACCTCTCTTTTTATTAATCGCAACATTGGCAAATTTGGTGTAACCGATGTATATGTTCACATGTATCCGATGTCAATTGCTCTATGTTTGCAGCTACATTTTTATTTCACTGGCATGCGAGCTAAACGAGTTGGTCAACATGCCTAGATGAATCAAACTTTTAGCTCGTTATATAATATTAGTCCTAACAAGCTAAGCCGAGTCCAGCTAAGCTGGCTCGATATCTGCTAGCCCTACCTCACGACGTCACATTAACCTAGCAATTTCGGATCTAATTCAAGATTTTCTTGGGGCCCAAGCGCTGCTTTCTAATACTGTATTTGGAGCAGTCCTTAGAATAGAAGAGATCAAACGAAAGAAGTGACTACTTGGAAGTTCCTAAAAGCAGGGAAAACGATAGTTGACTTTTCCTGAGAAGTACTGAGTAGTGACCCAAGTATCACGCATTGCATGTAGACATCCATAAGCGCAGGCGCAGTGGTATGAGCTAGTTACTGGCTCTACAATCTCTCTAATGATATTAACTTTTAGCACATAGCTCATAACATAAATAGCTTCATATGACATTCTCATGTAATCTTGAAACATGTGTATGGGACTAGCTCTTGATCAAGAGCTAGTTTTTTCTCTTTTCTTTAAAATATGAAACAATATGCTATGAGTTAGCTCATAAGTTACCATTGGAGCTCCCCTAAAGACCTTTTCTTTTAAGAAGGCTTTTCCGGATAATATGATGGCTCGAACGCGAGTTATTTCTCTACTTGTAAGATGATGTTAAGTCAACCATACCTCAAGACTTATCTTAGCTATATACTCCCTCCATCCCAAATCATAAGTCATTCCAACTTTCTTAAAGAATCAAAGCATCTCAAGTTTGATCAAATTTATACAATAAAATAATAATATTTATGGTACCAATAAGTATCATTAGATTCTTCATTAACTATATTTTCATATTATACCTAGTTGTTGATGTCATAAATCTTTATAATTCTCTCTATAATTTTAGTCAAATTCGAGATGTTTTGACTCTTAAAAAAGTTCGAATAACTTATAATTGGAATGGAGGTAATACCTTTTATGTGAACTTAGCTAAATTTAATGTAGTTTGACTTAGCATATGCCAAAATTATATTATTTTAGAAAGTAAGGGAAGATTTAATAGTTGCACGTGCAACTAAATTTTCAAGAAATTAAAAAATTAGCGTGCAACTAAATTTTTAAAAACATGAAAATTAGTTTTGCACAAGTATCTAGGAACTGACATCGTCCTAAATCGTCACCGAAACAGACCAATATGAAATTACAACAGTCCATCTACCGTTGGTAACACAAACATAAATGCTTTAAAGCTGCGGACCTTACCGGTGGGAGATACGATTGAACTAATTTTCTTTATATCTGCGTTACTGGGGAACCAATCAAACAACACGATATATGTTACAGAATATTACGTTATATAAGGAGATCGGCAATAAATTAGCTACCACTAGTACAACAGTCCCTCACTAACATTATAGATATACATACCCTCAAAAAAGCATTATTATAGATATATAATAGCAAACGTGCATATGTGTTGTAACAAAATTTACATCTTAGTATCTTATGCCATCTACTATAATACATTTTAGAATCAGACTACATACTTTTATTGAACATATGTATCCTAATTTGTATAAGCACAAGTCATATGAGTTTAGACCATGGATGAGACAAAAATAAATTAAAACTCCAATTTTTTCAAATACAGAGCAACACTATCATTCTTGTAAACCCAGCTATGACTATATTGTTCTGAAGAGTGAAGGAACACAGGGACAAAGAAAGAGAGAGGGAGAGATGGATCAAAATTTAGAGATAAAAATTCACTCTGATATTTATACTAACAGACATGCTCATGCATTGCAACAGATCATACAACCTGTCCCAATATGTTTTAAAATCGAACATTATAACCGTGACCGAAGACACACTATTCTAACTTCTATAAGCACGAGTCATGAATTCAGGTCATAGACTAGACATTAAAGCAATTAGACTCTTATCTCTAATTCATAACCTCTAATTTATTACATACTACTACTCTAGTAAAAAAATGATATGACACTTTGGTTCTATGGAGTGAAAGGACAAACGGACTCAAAAGAGAGCCAAGGACAAAAACTGAGAGAAATTGTCGCTCTTTAAGTATAAAAAAGGTATAGATTACACGACGATATAAGGAATAAGTATGCATATAACAAATCACGACTTACGATATTTGATAGTCTCATCCTCACAGAATACAACACATTTATAAACATCCCCATTATTCCTCCGTGGCTTGCATGTAAATTGTGGATCTTTTTATGGTATGTTTTTGTGTTATAGGTGGATGAAATGAGAACTGGAAATTGTGAAAAAGAAAAGGTAAGCCTAGTTCTAACAGAATCTTCTGTACATGACAAGAAAAGTATCAACAAATAATTCCATTTCAAAGCAAGCAAAATGCTTGTGGTATTTACAGTAAGCACTATTGGAAGATCTGTTGGATGACTGTCTCTGCATTTCCATTGTACTGCATGAGGAGTTGGATGGCGTCCGCCCTTGGCAACGCAAGGAATTCCTAAGTATATAGAACATACACAGTAAGTGATAAATAGCCAATTAAATTCAATCTCACATGTTATTGATATCTTAGGTGCTGACGATAAAATATTCTGATCTCTAAACAAAGTGACAAAAAGTGCAATAAATTCCACTACGGGTACGTTCAGTCCTAGGCAATACCAATTTGAAAAGTAGATTTCAAAAACCTAAACTAGTTTGAGACATGTTGCCAAAAACTACAACCTTGGTGCCCACTGCAGAAATTTACCCTATTTTGACACTTGATGCAAAACAAACTCACCATGAACATCCCTAGTGTGCTTTTAAAGGAAACTTTTATTGACAACAGGGTAAAATGTTAAACACAGCTAGAAGTAAAAATGATTTTTTTAACTTTAACCTTAAAATACTGTAACTAGTAACTATTTTTTTTTAACACCAGGAGAGTCGCATCCTTTTATACTGAGAAGGAAAAAAAAAAAGGTAAAGAACCCTTGCAACACACCGACGCCCAAGCTGCACCTTTGTTAGATTAGAAGTACCAAGACCAAAGCAGGCCACAATTAACCATCTTGTGATAACTAATGAATATCAAACATAGTTTTTTTTTCTATGTACATAAGAAATACGTTGCCACATTACACTGTAAACCCCATAGATAGCAACAATCATCCTCACCAAGAAGATATAGGACATGTTTGGTGTCATCCCTACAAGAGGGGCAAAGAAAACTGCACGTGGAGAGCCAGTCCATTGCCTGTAAAGGCAAGAGGATCCTTGCTCACCTTGCCAAAAACAAAGGCCCAAGGGTAGAGAAAGAAATCGACACTTGTCCTGACTGTGGTAGGCAAGGGAACCAAACATCATAGTATATTACTTACCATAACCTTCAGTATAGCATTTTCATCACAGGAAACTTCTGATGAGACTTGAGGGCTACTACCTTCATCTGGCACCTTGCCACTTGAACATGTTGTGATTTGAGATGATCCATTTCCACATTCATCTGTAAGGACCTTGGACATACTGTGACTCCCCAATGATGGATCAACCTCTTTCAGAGAACCAATCTTCAAAAAGTGCTCAAAACGGTCCTTGCACATCTGAAGCTTAAACCATTCAGTGTGTGTATGGATTGTTGTTCTGACTAGCTTCATTAGCTGAGGCTCTTCAATACCAAGCCTTCTGCTCATTGCAACCTACAAAAGAGACTACGCTTGATACCATACCACATCACTCTAAATAAACATAATAAAACTCATGCTCATTTCTTTGATTAAGGAAACTAAGATCTAAAGCCAAGTAAATTTTCCTTTTACTGTCACTAATAGTCTATCACAGCAGCTATGTTGACTCGCTATATGCAGACGTCGAACAAACCTGGAGAGAACTGGCAAGTACTGGCAATGATAATGCATTCATTAGTACATCTCGATTGGGTTGAATTAATGTCACCAAAGTTTCCTTCAAGGGCTTCAGTAGAGCTTCGTTATTGGCAGCAAGTGGTCCCAGATGAGTGGATGCAACCATGAGAGCAGATACATGATCACCAGCAGCTACCAGCTTAAGAAATTCAACCTGAAATGGATAAATATATTAAGTAGGTATCGATTCCTATCAGAGCTGCAGATAAGTATGGGTTAACGGTTGGGCTTACCTGTTTCAGTTGAAACAGAAGAATAGGGTTCTGTTGAAAGAAATCAGGATCTATACTGCTTATTTCCTCAACAACTTTGGAAGCCATCCCTTTTCGCGTGAGGTCCCGCATTTCCAAAATAATTTCATATTTCTGGTCTTCCATGTGTATATTATCAGACAAATTAAAATTTACCACCAAGTCCTAGTGAAGGGCGTACAAACATAAATCACTATTTATCGATAATCTAGTTTCCATGAAAGGAAAAAATAATTATGAAAGCTCACCTGTTTTTCTACCATAGTATCTTCGTCCATATCAAGGGTAGTAGACAAACGATCATGCTTACTAGAATCCAACAACGCGTCACAAGCGTAATCAAGATCATCTAGCCGTCCTCTCCATCTCTTTCGTCTTCGCTGCCCAGACGTACTATTTCTAACCCTATGTAACCTCCTGGACCAAGAATCGTCGCGAGTGATACTGCTGGTGCTACAATGTCCATTCTGACTGTTGGTCATTTCACACTCAAGCTGTGTTTCGTTATTAACATCATTATTTTGTTTACATTTCAAGTCAGCAGTTCCTACACACACAAAAAAAAAGTTTTTATTAGAGCTAGGCAACCAAAAAGCTACTTCTAAGAGTTAGCTTAGCAATAGAGAACTACACAAAATTACTTATTTGCAGTAAACAAAATTTTCTTGTAGCCCGTAGTACAGGTTCAGCCATTTACCAGAAAGAACATGCGAACTGCCTTCAACTATTCCCCTGTATACACAATACTCGTGTACAAGTTTATCCAGAAGTGTCAGGTCCAGCTTCATCCGACACAATTCGTTCTGGCATTTTTACACAGATAAGCTTACATCATGAGCGTCAAACCAAGGAAGCAATAAGGGAACACTTGTTGAAACATAAACAAGTTCATGCCGTATCAAATAACAATCCAACAAATGATGATTGACACATACATTATTTCCTTATATTTAGTCAATGAAATGAAATGAAAAGGCAATGTAATCTTTTGGCCCCTCAACAATGGACCAGGAGATATATAGCCTTCAAATATAACTACAAACAGGAAAACAGGACTCCCAACTATTTACACTGTTGTAATGCTGTTCCCTTCCCTATTTCATTATGATCATCTTACAAAAACCTAACCAGCATGTATACATATTGGTGAACCACAAACTGGTTGTGCAGAGCAGAAATAGAGATGCACTACAAAACTACAAAACATATGTGTGTAACAGAAAGAATCAACTTTAGGCAAAACCAGAAGTAGACCCCCAAACGTTGATACAAATGCTAGACAACTCTCAGAAAGGTATGATTCCCAACACTCCAGTGGGCATATCAGACACGATCAAACAAAGAGAATTCCAAAGTACGACATGTCATCTGCAAACCTTTGAAAATTGGACAGGATAAGCTGGCCAATTGTAAGCCCAAGAGGCAGGAGGTGTTGGGAAATGAAAACAGTGGCAATATGGCCTCATGACAGGCATGGATTTGGGTTTCAGGACAAAAGGGGTGGCCTATTTTGATTTGCTGTTCTCAATCAGGTATAATGGTACACCAGTAAGGTCCCCTGCACCACTAACTCCTCTGTATAAGTCTAGCAAAATGCCTATTTTGATTTGCTGTAGAAGGCTGTCAATGCTGAGATACTGGCAGTGGCAGGTAAGATACAGAAAGCAGCATGAGGTAGGCTAAGATAGTACCTGGTGCTGACGATGGAAATGAGGGTAATTTAGTATTTATATATATGTATGGTGATGGCTTCGATAGTGAAACCATGTTAACGTGATGGAAGGACTGAAAATGGGGAAACAACAAACAAAAATGCACTAGAGGGCCAGTCATGAAAATGCAAAAATGCAAAATTCAGTGGCAAGTTTAGATAGGATTTATGAAGACAACCAGTCTCCACTGGGATTTTTTGTGGTGGAACTTCTCAGAAATGACCACTTTGGTGTGGTGCATTCCAAAACTTTCTGCTTTTTTAATTTTTTTTATTCAAGCAGCCAGTTATTGGCTGGTATATATCATCAGAAGCTTGAAACTTGACTCTTGTGACAGGGGGAGAAATTCAACAGAAAGTTTTGGAAGGAAAAATTTTGGATTCACAGCATAGAAAAGGAAATGTCCATTGCCAAAATTTTGTACGAAAACCAAATAATTATGTACTCCCTCTGTCCTTAAAAGAATGCGATTCTAGCATAGTATTGAGTCAAACATTCTGAGTTTGACCAAGTTTATACAAAAGATATCAATATTTATAATACCAAATAAGTGTCATTAGATTCATCATGATACTTATTTTGTGTTATAAATATTGATACTCTTTTCTATAAACTTGGTCAAACTTTAAAAGATTGACTAGGGGTAGAGCTAGAAATGCATCCTTTTCTGGACGGAGGTAGTATTTCTAAACATTTATAGCAGGCTTAAAAAGTAACAAGCCATTAATAAGATCAACAATGCTGCTTAAGTTGCATGAAAAATAAATTTGCATGTTTCACAAAAACTATTAAAAACAAAAGTTTCTTTTCAGTTAAGAAATCAGCACAAATGGCAACAAAAATTCTATGGTCATGGTTGAATAATTTTATACCAACATTTTGTAATTATAATACAACCTGAAATGCTTGGTATAAATTTCCTTTTGCAAACTTCAAGCTATCCACAGCACCTTGTCTTGTCAACTCCACAGCATGCGCTAGGGCTTGAACATCAACCTAATATCCAAATATCAAAAGCTGGTGCAAAAAGAGTATAGTATATGTATATTTAATAATTACTATGGAGTGCTTGCCTCATCAAATGGTGGTGCTTCGAGTAAGCATTCCTGAGGAACCACAGGGGGATCACGATCCTCAAATAGCAGTCGCTCAGTGAGATCAGATATAGGTGATGAAATTCCTTGGCGCTTGCAAAATGCCTTGTGAATGCTATTCAAGTGTTGTAAAATTGTTAGAATGGCATAGAAGATAATTTGACCAAATATGATTGGAAAAACAGAACGTATGTACTGTATAAGGTACCTGATTAAGTATCTTAACATCAGCGATAGAATAGGGTCATAAGCTTCTAAATGAGCTCTTAGTATAGATGATAGTAGACCAGCAAGTTCAAACCTCCTCTTTATAGACCACTGTAGAGCAAAGGGTTTAAGAAGGAAGAAACGATTAATACCAGAAACATTAATAACTTCCTTACAGTACATCGTGAAGTGCTGAAAGATATAACATAGCAATAGCAACCTCTATAAAGTTGAGAAACATATCTTCCAAGAAGCAATAAGCATAATAATAGTTCCCAACATAGAAGTTCTAACATGCAAAAAGTACAGTATTTTTTTATTGGTCATAATTGTTTTGTTCACGGGCGCTGGTTGTGGCTAAGGTTTTTTCTATTGGTGAATCCTTTTTGTAACTTCTTTGCCCCTATAGGGATTGTACAAGTCATCTAAACTCCTTTCTTCTTCTAAATAATGATGTGTAGTTCTCCTGCGTGTTCGAGAAAAAAGAAGTATATTATTTTAAAGGTAAGGCACTCATGGGTAAGTGCAAAGCAGTGTATTGTCAAATAATTCAATGACAATCAAAGCTACTTAAGTCTTAAACTCTGGAGAAGTTGATTCCTTACTTTTTTTTGTCAAACAATTGAGTGACAATCAAAGCTACCTAAACTCTGGAGAAGTCAATACCTTACCAAGAAATATTATAAGCTGTCTTCTTGAGTGTATTAATTCGTCTATGTTGCTATCCACTATTTAAAGAAGTAATGTCACCAAATATACAATGTATGAATAATTAACATATCCGTGCCATTATTCTTAGATGATAAGCTCATGAAGCAGAATATGGACATAGGGGACCCTGCATACCTCATTAACAACTGGGGAAGATTGATCATCTTTGTCATATATCAACACAAGCATTATATGCTTGAACTCCTCATAAGCTTCCTTCAGGGCATATTAACATATCAATATTCAGTAAGAAAGCTCCAAACAAGCACAAAGAAACTCAATTAAACATGCTAGGATAAATGTGTTTATTCAGGTTTAGCAGTCTAATATATCCTAGGTGCTGTGTGATGCTCTTTTAGTGTTATGTTCAATATATGGCTCTCTAATACATTTGAAATTTGCCCTCCCAAGAATTGAACAGGAAAGAATTAAATGAGCACCGTAACCTTATCAAACAGGAACAGGGTAGTAGAGAAAGCCAGGCAGTATATTCATTCATTGTGAATTGAATTGAAACTGTAAAATGCACCAACAGTCCCTAAGGCCTAAACTTATAAATAACCTTTCATGATGGAAACATTTTAATGACAAAAAGAAAGTCATTTGTTGCATGCTTTGAATTAAAAATTATAAACTAATTTCTGAGGAATTACCACTTAGCCATGTCAAGTTTCAAAAAACATACGTTCCACAACAATCAAATCGTTTTTGTAAAAAGTACGTTGTATGTTCCTGTAACTTGTTTAGTACAGGTTAACTGTTGTAGAGCCAATGATCATAACAGTAAGACCATCAGAAGCACCCTTTCAAAATAACATCTTGGAGCTCAGGCAAATTTTAACCTATACTAATGTACCAGTAACTAGTGCTTTTCTAAATATCAGCTGCTACAACATAAGTGGCTCTACCTCAACAAATATACACATAATCACATGATTCAGCTGTTGAGTTAGGATATGCTTGGTTGGATACCACAGTACCACATTTAGCTGCAATTACCTCTGGCAAAGTGTGGCAAGACAGTCATTGTGCTGAAGGGGTAGATTGTGACAACTTAAGCAAAATACAGTATGCCACATCAGTGCAAAAGTAACCAAAGAAATGTGACAAAAAGTAAAACTTTCCAGCTTTTGTGTATTGCAACATGATAGACGTGCAACCTTAGCTCTTAGGGCACTGGTATTGCACTTAACATCACCTAATCCCAGTCACACCACAGTTTCCCACATAGCTGCGTGTTTGACTGACACAATTGTGGTCGCACACATTTTCCTAGCACCCTACCCTACACATCATATGTTCAGTTGTTGACAAACTTTGTGACACTTGTGGGTAACAATATGTTGGATACATTTTGCCTACATCACAGCTCGAGAAAGAACCTCTTTCATATATTTTCCTTAATGCGATAGCTCAAACTAGCAGGGATAGTCTCCTAGCAATATGTCCTCATATGAAGCAATATATTACCTCCAAAGTTTTTTAAAAAAAAAAAAAAATCCAATTTCCATAGCACAGATTTCATGGCTGCATACTGCAATAACCAAGGGGTAAGCACCCACTAAGAACTGGATGCCAGAGTTACCTCCACACCTATGTCCAAATTGTTCGGACAAATTGGACACTCTGAATCCAAATCAGATTCTGAAGACTATATATGACTCCATGTAGTATTTTGCACAGCCATACTTATTTGCCAAGCCAAACTCCTGAATACATGTGCCATTTGAAACAAGGGATCCTGACCACCAGGGCCATCAACTGGCAGGGGCGAGGTGGCCAGCTGCACAGGCCCCAAAAATCTAAAGCCACTTTTTTTCTTCAATACACACAAGAGCTACATATCATTGCATTATTACAAGGATACACACAAAAAAAAAACATTTTATTCAATACATGAACGTGAAGTGAAACTGTGAAGGAATATCGATTGTGATCATTGATCGGCATCAACAACTGGTTCATCAAATCTGATCAATTTCTCTCTGTTTGTCTCCCAGTCCCAGGTCACCGCCCACCCAGTGAGGCAGCAACACAACCCTGCTAGTCTGCCAATGCAGTGCCACACCTGCTGAGTGCCAATACGGAGACGGAGGACACACCCTGTCACTGCTGCAGTCAGGGGCGACGCCGCACTATGTTTGGGTGGTGCACTGGCACCAGGCAAAAAAAAAAACATATTTACTACTAAATGGCCTACTTTTACCATACAAATTAGTTGAAATCAGATATATTTCTACATGGCTATGAACAATGTGCACCACTATGGATTTTAAGGTGGCTTCGCCCCTGGCTGCAGTTCCACACCTACCGACACCCAACACATCATGGTAAGTGGTAACCTGAGCCTGCTAGTCGATACTAGCGTACGGAGTGCAAAACATGGAACAGCTTAATTTGTAATGTGATTTCTTCTTATGATTAGGAGTCAATAAGATGCATTGAAGTGGTATAATTAAGTGAAAGCATGATTTGACTATATGATTTTTTCCAATTTTAGGGCCCCATCTTGCATTTTCTACCAGGGCCTCAAATTCCAAGAGACAGCCCTGCTGAGTTAGAGGAGACTCATCCCCTGCTGGCCACCGAATCAATCCTCACTATACCAAAGCCACAATTGTAGGTTCAACCCATTCAGATCCAACAACAAGCCTGACAATTCCCACAATTCACCACTTCATGATCCACTACTCATATTATTAACTAGCCTATGCATGCTTAACTTGTTGCTCGATTCCAAGCCACTAAATATCCATTCAACACTGTTTTCAGCATGGTATGAGCCACCACGGAGGTTCAGTACACAGTCACAGTACTTAAACCGCTATCCGCATGAAGTAAATTTTAATTTGACGCTTGAACACCTCAACTTGAATCAGAGCATCATGTCAGGCATGAGGAGGGGAGTCACAGCAGAAGCACTCACCGGGTAGGCGTCGAGCGCACAGGGCGCGAGCGCCGTGCGGAGGCAGTCGAGCGCGGCGTCCCTGTCCGCCTCCGTGCCCCTCCTCACCAGCTCCACAAATCTCTGCAACGCCACGCAAATTGAATCATGTCTCAGTTTGAACCACAAGCGCCGGAGGTATCGGGAGACCCGAGGGAATGGCACGCACCTGCTTGTGGAGGTAGAAGAGGAGGCGGTGGTCGGCAAGAGCGGTGGGCGCGTGGGCCCGGAGGAGCGCGAGGGCCGCGTCGACGTCTCCCAGCTCGAGCGCGCGGCGCGCGCAGCGGATGAGGAGGCGCGACCGGTAGGATGAGGAAGAGGACGACGAAGACGAGGATGGGGCCGAGGAGGTGACGGTGGTAGTAGAGGAGGAGGGTGAGGACGGCGGCGAGGGGGAGGCTGGGGCGGGGGCGGGTGCAGCGGGAGGATGGGCGACGAGGCGGTCGGATCTGGCGAAGTCGAGGATAAGGGCGTCCAGTGCGTCCCAGTTCACCGGCGGAGGAGAATTCGGCTGCGGCCAGTCCATCGGCGGCGAGGCAGTAGCGAGCGGTGGCGCGGGGATTAGGGGGAGGAACAGTTGAGGTGGTCGGGACTCGGGTGGAGGTCGTTGAGACGACACGATGAAGTCGGTGGAGCCGTCGAGGGCGGCAGCGTGTGCGAGTACGTGTAGCGAATTGGGGCGAGGTGTGACCAACTTGATACGCATTGAAGGGATGATGATCAGTGCGTAACGTGTTGTTTGGAGTCGATAGAAAATACTACGACATTTTCTGAAGCTTGGTTGGTTTAACTGAGTCCCTGCATCCTTTATCAGATTTATTTAGGGTACGGGAGTGCGTTTGGTTTTGAGATAAAAAAAAAGATAGGATAATTATATTCTTGTTTTCTATAGAATACGACACCCAATTTGATTCTTTTCTCCCCTCTACCATCTCTACACCTAAAAAGATCTATCCAGTAATACCAAGTTCCGTTCTCTGCTCATGCGTCCGCATCCGATACGAAGTTCTCAGATCTCACGTATCCGTGTCCGATCAGTGAGAAATCAAGCATATATCTAGTTTAGCTAAAGGCACAGGGCCCTTCCTATTATCCCTGTTAAATTTACTCATCCATCGATCCACATGTCATTTTCTCTATACTATCTGTTTCCAGCTATGCTTATCTCGTTCATACCTAAGGAGTACATTCGAACCTTCCAGTCCTTGCCGCCACTCAGAGGTGGAAGGAGTGCCACCACTAGCTAGAAAAGGAGCTCGACCCCAACCATGCCTCCCACACCACGTTGCTCGCCCTGCGGCGCACCTCCCATGCCATGCTGTGTCGAGAGGAACATGGGCCTTGCTGCTCGGCATCGTTAGGGAGCAGGTTCGTCAAGTGAATCCATATCTTGGATGCTCGGCGTCGTTGAAGAGCGCAACCGTCGGGGCAAAGTTGGCCTGGCTACATGGCGCCGGCGGGAGCGTGGCCCTTGGGGCAGAGTCGGCATGGTTGTGCGCTAGTGGGGAGTGACCCTGTCTCTGTTTAGTTGACCCTATTTCTATTGGGGCTCTTACATCAATACCCCTATTTTATATCGATATTATGATTTTACCCCTATTTTTTTAACTTTGTGAATTTGCCCCTGCTTATTCAAAACGAAGCACCACTTTGCCCCTATTCTGTCATCCTGTCCTAATGGTGTTAACTTTTGTACCAAAGGACAAATATGCCCTTGTGATTTTGCCCCTAGTTTTTAGGGTTATTTGTGATTTTACCCCTAACTTGGAAAAAGACACATATATTGTATTTTGAAAAAAAATGGTTATTATATTTGGTCAATTCAAATTTAATATTGAAAAAATTATTCACAAATCACATGTTGGGTGTCTATAGTAGTCCTGTCCTGACTATGATACCAAAAAAGTTAGGAGCAAAATAACAAACGAAATCAGTAAGTCAAGTCCATTGTTGCATTCCGACGAACACCTTGCCTGTAGCCTGTGTTACTTGCCAATGCCGTTTAGGCGAACATCGTGCTCTCGTTGCCATCTGTCGGCACGAAAATGTCGACACATGGCAAGCCGAAAGGATCTGCTTAGAATGAGCCTAGAGATCCGTTTGGCTTCAACGCAGGATTAACCCATTCTACGAATTCCTCCCGAGGCGTACCAGTCAATTTGACCTGCAATTGATAGGAGAGAAAGTTTATCAGTAATTTAAGGTGGAACATACCGGTCTTTGCCAAGACAGTTCCAAGTGTGCCGCTTCGGGAGTAGCCAGACGAGAAAATTGACTAAATAGCTGATAAGCACAGAAATCAGTTGTTACGAATAGTAGAGCTTATGGATCGCGATTGATTTTATGTTGATAAATACAATGCTAGCAGATATAAGTGAAATCATCAGTTATGTGGATATTACCAGTGTGAATCATTGAGCCGATGAATCTAATCGAGAAAGAATATCACATGCAAACAAATCGACTGTATAGTACAAATGGATCTACAAATGCTCTGAATCTAATATATTACCATCAACAGTGAGGTTCGACCAGATCGATGGTAGCTATGATGATAATAACAAACTAAAACCTTAGAATCCATAAAACCATCTACACATCGACAGGTTTTCCGAAAGACACGCTATATATGTGAAAGTTCAAAGCGGATCGGCTGAAATAGCCGATTCGGATGAAAAGGGACTACGGCGTGTGAACAATCAACTATTTCACGTGGACAAACTTATGAACTCATCAGACCTAACCTGCTATCTCTAACAGTGAGGTTCGACCGGATCGATGCAGTCGTGATAAAGACAACAAATCAAACTTTTAAAGTAGACAGATCTATTCATGTTTAACAGAATCATGGAGACACACCGTAGGCGTTAAAGCATAGGCCATCGGCTATTTAGCCGATGTAGGCATAGCAAATAGTTAAGGTTACGCCTAATCGAGAACAAATCTACTAACTAGCATCCTCCATCTACAGTGCCATCAGTGGGGATTGACCGGATCGTTACAACCATAATAGCGAACTATAGACCAGATTTAACTAACCAGCAAACCTCTTTAAGATGATACACGCCTTAACTGCGTACTATGCACGATCAAGATCGAAATAGAACAACCAATGAAACATAACCCATCGCTTAGAGTAAGAAACATCATGTTGTGACAAAGCAAACGATGGACTAAAAGAATATGAGGCCAATCTAGATCGATCTCGACTGGACAGATTGATGTTGCTGCAAACTAATATCAATAAGATCATCAGTAAGATCGGTAACTTAATGAATCTACCCAAAGGACGCCACCCTTAGGTAGAGCCGATAACTTGACCTTAATCCAATTCGAGAAGTGGAACTCGACCGGATCGATGCAGCCGTACTTCAATTAGACAAAAGTCGCTAACTAGCTTATACTAGAGTTCATAGTGGAGGTCAAACTTAACCGATGCAGCCATACAAACAGAAGTATAAGCCATAACGATACTTACAAACAAGCCGGAGGTCGGCCGAACCGATGCATCCCTGCTTGTTGAAGAACTCAACGGGATCTACTCTACTCCTACTCTTAAGGGTTGGCACAGAGCAAAAAAAAGTAAATTGTATTTGATTAATTAGATGTCCTTTACAATAGCCAGGGTCCAATATTTATACCCGAAATCTAAGTATGAATCCTACTTACGCACGACTCATTACAATCTTTGGCATAAGAGAAAACATTCCTATTTTAAGATAACTTGGACCCTAATCTTTCCCTTTTTGTAGAGTCCAACATGTTTCTCCCGATGCCAACCGTAGCTTTTTTGTCGTTATCTGCTGGCATCATCTGAAGAGAGCCGATTGCAGTGTTGCATTTGAATCAGCTGATATCAACCTTTATGCAATCGATTTCATAATCTTTGGGAGCTTCGAGTTCCCGCATTCTTCTTCCCAAATTTTGGTGTAAACACATGCCCCCCAATTTTGGGATAAAAGTAATTTTATTCTAAAATTATCATGCATGTACCTCCGATAGGTCCATAGTCACGGGTAGAGAATCTTGATCTGGGGTCTACTGTCTGTCACCGTCTTTGCCAGCTTATGAGCCCATGCTTCAAAGCTTTATGAGAGCATCATTGCTTCATGGGCGTTTGGATCCATCTTTCTAGACCGACTATAAATGTCTATCCGACTCTAGTGAGAGCAACTCAACAACTTCAGTTATGTTTCTCTTCTGTTTGCTTCCTTGAGTGCCCCTGGCTCCACCAGACCCTCCATGGTCTAATTCCTTGCTATGAGGATCTTGAGTGGTTAGAAGAATTCTTGTGCATAGGGTGATTGTGTTGCTCATTTTAGGGCCTTGTCGAGAAAGAGGATCAGCTACTGCGGTTAGAAGAATTCTTGTGACATCACTTGAGTTTTCTCACCATGATCGTAGAGCTATTCTAGTGTTTGCAAGGGCTAAAATATGTGGACACCTTCCCCTTGTTCGCTTCATCAAATGCCCGTCGGGAAAACCAGACTTCTTTCCCATGGTTTCCCAGCCACTGATAAATGGGCATCTCTTAATAGGCGGCTTTCTTTCCCATTGTTTTTCAGTCACCGAGAAATCAGTTGGGTATACGGGCATCTTCTAAGTAGGCAGCCTTTCCTCTTCCCCTGATGCAATTTATCAACGGGCCGATATGACTGGGTCCATGATGACCTTCGGCTTTGTGGGGATCCGGACTCCCTTCAATCCAAAGAAGTCTTGGTGGGTTGATCGCCAGTTAATGTAAACTCTTTGTATCAATCCCATGATATTTTGTAATTATGGGAAGCAATAAGTCCAAATCTGTTGTTTCTTCATGATCCGTCCCCTGAATTTCCAGAGTGTCGATCTGTTTCCAAATCTGACTTTAATTCCACAACCTCGGTGAAGCTTATCTTCTCATCTCTCGGGCTATATATACGGGCCACAGCTGTGGATCGAGAAACAACCTACTTCATCCCAAACCTTCCATATCTTTAGTGTGATTCTACTTTCTCATAGTTTTGAAGGTACAGAGAATGGCAAGAGGTCTGCTGAGGAGGCCTTCAACAGGTCTGTGTCACCACGCCGACGTCTTCGTCATCAGGAGGGTGCAACCAGGGATGCTCTCATCGTCCTAGAGCATGGGGCCGACTTCGCTCAACTTCCGGGGTCATCCTCATCAACAATTCACCGCCAGCTCCCTTGCTACTCGAGGAGGTGGATCGACAACGACGATTTGATCGCCTCCATCGATTAGGCTGGCCAGAAGCTCACCGACTGCTTCTCCATCGTAAAATCGGCTCTGGCCATGGTTCAGCATCAATCACCCTCCAAGGTCGACCAGACAGAGGAGAGGTTGGCCAAGGCTGAGGCCAGAATCATGGGTGAGATGCCTACCATAATTTTTTGTCTCTCAGTTTTTGTCTTCAAGATCTTGATCATCCCTTCCTCTAATATTTTTAGATTTATCAGCCCAGCTAGAAAGCCTCCGATTGGCTGCGGAGCACGCGGTAGGATTCGTTAACGCCAGGGGTGCCGTGCTGGTGG